TTTGACTCTGAGAAGGGTTTGCTGTTCTTTCTGACCTTTAAAATGATACATTTCAATGAGATCTTAGGCGTAAATCGTTATCCCATTCATAAAAATCTCCATCCGAAAATGAAGTTCTCTGGTTGATTTCAGAGCAATTTTAGTGAATGATTCTTCCAGTCACTTCCTAGTCCATTTCACAATCCCTGCCGGTAAAAAAAAAACTGTTGGGCTTGATTGTCTCTATTTATATGAACACAATGTGCTAAACACCTTGAGCTGAGAGGCTTTATCTTGCCTCTCAGCTCAAGTGGGCCATTGCTATCTCTCTGCACAATTCATATAAATAGCAATAGCAATAGCAATAGCATTTAGACTTATATACCACTTCATAGTGCTTTTACAGCCCCCTCTAAGCGATTTACAGAGTCAACATATTGCTCCCAACAATCTGGGTCCTCATTTTACCCACCTAGGAAGGAGGGAAGGCTGAGTCAACCTTGAGCCGGTGAGATTTGAACTGCTGAATTGCAGCTGGAAGTCAGCTGAAGTAGCCTGCAGTACTGCACTCTAACCACTCCGCCACCTCGGCTCTTCTAGATATTTCACCCCGCAACCTACAACCATTATTACAGCTCTCATGAAAAGCCCTTGTTTGCAAAACTACGGGGACATGACACCAAGAGAACTTCCAATAAGGGCTGAGGTCTATACAACTTATTACCCCAGGGTTTTTATTACAACCAATGTCTATACACAAACTGCATGTACTGAAAATACCCAAAATTGATAAAATGAAGACTAATAGTTTAATTTTCCCTTTTTGATATAAAATAGGGGCATTTAAAAAAAAAATTACTGGGAGCTGGTATAGCTGAAGGGTGGGGCAATGACCTAAGCCTTCTCTTGAGTTGGAGGCAGCCTTGACTGGTTAATGGTTTCCTCTGCTTGTTCTCATCATTCTGAGCTCAGCAAGAGCAGACTCCAAAATACTTTGAGAGGGTGAGACTGGGAACAGGGCCATCAGGAAATGGCAGAATATTAATGTCTAACGACTTTAGCTTTCTTGGTAACTTTCTTTAAAGCAAAGATGTTGGAAGGGGAGATCTGGATGTTCTCTGGTTAGAGGAGATGAAATCCTCATATTATGTCCCTCTCCCTACAAATAAACAACTCCATTTGGTTTTAGGGAAGATTATAGTACACAAAATAGGAGACCATTGTGACTGTTGGCAATAATGGCTTATCTGAAATGTTTATCCTACGGGCGCCATAGCTCCCAAAGTACTTTGGGAGGATAAATGAAAGAAAAAGCTAATATGAAACATTTATATGGGTGAAATCTTGTTTATGATTGTGAAATCTCACCAGAATTCACTGTTTTAAAATAGCTTTATAGTATCTCAGGAACAAGGTATCCAAAATTGACAATCTTATGAGATTGGTTTAAAACAGACCCACATTACCTAAAAGATCAATAAGCACTTTAAAGTACTGTCAATGCCTATATACCAACTCTCATGAGTCCAGATAAAGACAAGGAAAGTTTCTACAAGGACCTGGATTATTCAAACAACTCATCAGTAACAAACTCATCTTTCTGGAAGATTTCAATGCCAGAATGGGGACAAACAGGGACAACTGAGACAGAGTTCTTGGGAAACGCAGAGTAGGCAAACTGAATAGCATCGTTTGCTGGTTCTGAGCAAATATGTCAAGCACAACCTGTGCATTGTTAACATGATGTTCAAAAAGTAGACAACTACCTCAATGGGCTCCAGGTCCAAACACTGGCAACCTGCTTAACTAGATCATAGTATGACAACAGCATGATATTAACATGCGAGGTGCTAAGTGGTGGACTGACCACAAGCTGGTCTGGTTGGTCTGCAAGCTAAACATAGTCCCTCTACATATTAAACAACCAAGAAAGTCATTCAACACCAGAAGATTATAAGACCAGATCAAGCCCAATGTTTCCAAGATGTACTTAATGAAAAACTCTCCAGCAATTTACTGCTTGTAGGAACCTGTTCTGAAAAATAGACACAGTTTAAAGATATCATATAGACCAATGGTTCCTGGTTGGCGGCCCAGTGCAGGGGGAGGGGGGAAAGAAGGGATGGTTTTGTGCAAGGAGCAGGTATGTATTGTACATGCACGCGCACAGCTTCATTTGTTTGAGTGGCAGGCATGTGTATCCATTGCTCACACAAGTGGCAGTGCGCACATGCTCCAACCCAACACTAATGCATCCCAGTTGTGAATAGGCCACAACCCATAGCTTGGGACCCTGAATATAGACCGCAACAACTGTACTTGGACTGAAACCCCAGGCACATGAAGACTAGTTTGATGAAACACGAGACGATTTCAGTAGCCTTTCAGGCCAAGAACAAGGCTTATGCAGACTGGCAGAACAATCCATCATCTGTTTCAAAAAAGACAACTTTAAATATCTGCAGTCCAAAGTACAGATAAAACTGCAAGAAGTGCAGGACAAGATGGCAAAGAAAGCTGAGCAGGTAGAATTGTATGCATGCCACCTGAAAGTTTGTCAATATCATGAAGTCAGTGTATAGTCTTTCTAAATCACAATGCTTCCCCCCTTGCTGTCATGTTCCAACATTAGGAAGGTCTGAGAAACCACTGGGCTGGACATTTTTCTAATCTACTCAGTGGGTTCTCCAGAGTTGATTCTGATGTTTTACAGCAGATTTCTCAGCTGCCAGTCTTAGATACTCTAGACTTGCCTCCTTCTATTGATGAGATCAAGGAAGTGATCTTATAGGTGAACTCAAAGCAACAGGGCAGAATGGAGTTCCTGCTGAGATCTACAAAGCATCAGACCAAAATGCCTTACAGGTGTTCCAAGACATCCAAGAGATATTTTCCCCATTAATGATCTACAAGATTACCCATGAGCCACTGTCACACAAAATACTCTTGCGGAAAACTTCATCCCATCTTCCTAATCGTCCATACATTCATGGACAAACAAAGGCTAATTTCAGAGTCAGAAAGTATTCTTTTTATAGAAAAATACATCTATGCATCTTTGGGTAGGTCTTAGAGGATTCTTGTCTAAATCCCTGAGCCACAGTCACAGCCTCAGCAGATGATACTACACTTAGATAATTCAGAGGTTTATTAGTATAAAGCCCTTATATCTAAGCTCTTAGTTGTGGTGTAAATTAGCATTATGTTGAAGAAAATCACTGTCTCAATTTTAGACTGAAAAGAAATTCCCCACCTTCAGCTCTGAAAAGTTCGTAGATTTTGAGCAAGAATTTCTAAAAGACTGCTATACTGTATATTCAGAATAAAAGAGTGCTGAAGACTCAACAAGAACTGAACTCCTGGTTTTCATCAATTCTGAAAGGGCAGAAGCCAGAATAAATTCTTCAGGTTGTCTGGTTACAGGTTGCTGAAAGAAATTCTCACACTAAACAGCCCAGCAGATTTCTCCTCCTCAACTTAACTACCCCCCACCCTTCCAAAACCCAAGTCTTATGGAATTTGCAACTTACCTGACAAGGATCAGCAGGTCAGTCCGGAACACATGCTATTGAGAATAACAGGGGATGAAGGAGGGATGCCTGGGTTTTGATTAGCAAAAGGTTTCCTTAATGTATCCAGCTCAGTGGGCTTCAGTAAAGTTCCCGCAATCAGTGTTGGAGCAGACTCTTGCCTTGAAACAGCAGTAATGTCTTGAGGACCCTGGAGACAGAAGAGGAATGATGTTTCAGTATCGCTGAGGCTGTTACACTACAGACATAGCTTATGATGCATGAAGAATTTGTTCCTTTTTCCCCCTCTCTCTTGCATATCTGGAAATTGGGAGCTCCCTTGTGTTGGCAGGCATCAGAGAGTTGGATTGGCCAGCTGTCCAGAAAGGCTGTTTCCTTTTCTAATCACAATCTGTAACCCCAGTCAATGGAACGGAGAGGGACCCCATCCTGGAAAAACATCCCCAAGAAACAGTCAGTCTGCTCTGTCATTTTAGCTTGCTTTTTGTCAAAGGCAACCACTATCTGTTCTCTCTTTGCATTTTACGTATCATGCTCAGCTGAAATGTGTAGGTCAGAATAGTCAAAATGCAAGTTAAAACAAATACATGGATGTAAACACTCAACTGCCCAATTCTTGCTGCTCTTCTGTCCAGTTTGATTCAGTTTTTTTAGTTATTTTTGCAGAAAGGGCAAGCAAGTATGGAAGAATGGATGTAGATGAGACTTGATACGCAGAGTCATGGGGCCTGGGGATGATGAAATATCACAGTTACACATCCATCATTATGCCAAAAAACTGGAAGATACTAATTTTGATCTGCATGATTCTGAATCATCAGAGGAAAAAACGATGATACCGATACCCCGTCTCAACCCTAGAAATAAGATCCACCTGGGTTTCTGATCTCCATTTTGCAGGAAATATGATTCATTACTTTAAAACCAAGATGGAAAGGAAGGGATTCACCACATGGTAATGATTCAGTCTGCTGCCTCTTAGAAAATGCAGGACCCTTCCCTAGTGTAGAGCAGATGTAATTTCATCGTTGTTTCTTTTCAATTAAGTATCTCTGACTACTGAAGAAGTGGATGCTTAAATTAATATTTGTGCCAAATAATTCTAGCCATAAAGAATCAGGCATTTTATGGAAATTGTGACCTCAACCCATCAGTGAACACATTGCAGCTTGCTCTTGAAGTCAATTATCCCAACAAAAATGAGAGGAAAGCTGTAAGCCCTCGTGATCTAAAAGAGCCCAAATTTGCACATTCCACTGGCAGACACACTTACTAAGTATACATCAATGCCCACCACACGTTTCCAGCCCTTTATGTTCCTGAATATTTGCAAATTTATTTTTCGCCTCCCTGTTCTGAATGTGAATGAATGGTAGTGCAGATATACTACCACCATCTAAAAGTGCAAGCTTCTGAGCATCACAAAGACCTTCAATAGACTGCATTAAAGCCAAATCAGACTAAGGCCCATATTCAGTAGTAGAATGATGGTTTGAATCTACAAAGTCTCAGACTCAAGCTTTTATAGGGAGGATTGAAAAACACCAAACAGCTATTGCTGGCATGGGTAGGATATATATATCCTAACACACATGACCCAGACCAGTTTTTAGGTTTCTGTCTGGATGGTCTCTTGTGGCGAGCTGGGGGACAGAGAATGGAAGTAGTGATCTTCCTCCCATATTTGGGCATACCGGGGGTTGTAAAATCTAAATAGATACCTTTCACTCTGGCTGGCTGATAAGGAGTCGAGCTCTGTGGCTCAATGGTTAACACATCTGCCTTAGAGGCAATACAGCACAGGCTCGATTCCCAGTAAGAGTATGGCTAGCTGATGAGAGCTAAATAGCTTGAAATAGATCTATACTAGTCTCCCTTTATTTATTTATCAGCACAAATATTACATACATACATACATACATACATACATACATACATACATACATACATACATACATACATAAAACCAAAATAGTATTTTGCCCAAAATAGTATTTT